AAAAAAAAAAAAAAAAAAAAAAAAAAAAAAAAAAAAAAAAAAAAACTTATCAAGATCAGCAGCATGGTGAGCCACAACTTCCCACAAGCTCTGTTTTTTTTAATCATGATTATTTTTCGATAATGCAGTGACCCGCTTCATATGCCTCGTGGAATGACTAAGGGCCTGGCCAGGCCACAACCCGGCCTCAGGCCGTAGGGGCAAAAGACCCCCAGAAGTGGTGCCAGGGCCTGAGAGCACCGACAGTGGACTTCAGTCAACTGCCTGAGGCCCAACAGTCAAAGTCAAAGTGTACCCTGCACAGGCCGCCGGTCAGACACACACACTTGTTTGTATGCAGGTAACAAGACAGCATTCAGACCAGGTGGAAGTCTGCAACTGTAAGCGATCCAGGCCGGGCCCCTCGGCTGTGAGTCAATCTGGGCCACCATGGGTGGGAGACCTGAGGCAGGTCAACTGGGCCTATCACTACATAAGACCCAGCCAGCCTCCAGGGAGTCGACATTCGGTCTTGCTATGCTGACTTGACGCTGGCTCGATGCTAGCTGGACGCTGGCTTGACGCTGGCTGTGCGCTGGCACTGGGGACGACGACGTGGAACTGAGGCAGCATGCTGGCGCCTTCTCTGCTGAGCGTTAGCCTCTGCTGATGTGACGCATGCCACCTGTCTTCATCGCTGATGTGGCACTGGCCACGCTGTCTACATTGGTGACTGGACGCGACAAGGAGGCAGATCGGGATCTCTGGGATGATTGAGGAGGATCGGGATACTTACCTGAAGTTGATGTCGATATATACTGTGCGCTGTTCATCGCCTCCAACATCTTCACGAGCGAACTGTCACGGTGCCATGTGGCACTTCGATGTGATCAGAACCTGTCACACTCGTAACTGGATAACTTGACCTTGTAATTTATGCCTTCACCGTTTTGAGCTGAGCCTCGTTTATTACCTCTTAAGTTTCCATAGAGGAGAGAAGGTTACATTTTCTCCAGCTCCAGGATTATATATAAAAAAAAAAAAAAAAAAAAGGATTATGTTAATGTCAATAATTGAGTTAATGTTTTACTTGCTGTCAATTTGAACTACTGTTTGTTGTGTTGACGTGGAGGTGAGGGGAAGCCCAGAGAAGGAGTAGGAAATGTTGGGCTACTCTCTGTCAAGTTGGTGGTCATTAAGTGTTATTATAATATTATTATCTCTTCCACCCTCTAATCTGTATGTCCATTCCCCCTCCACTCTCTTGGTCTACTGGTAAATTAAATGAGACATTGTATCAGCGATCACATCGGAGACATTGTTGTTCAGAGTTGAGTTACTTTGTATTTGGACATCTGGCAAGTATCTTTTGACTTGGTTTATTACAAAAAAAAAAAAAAAAAAAAAAAAAAGCATGGTGCAGGCATCACATGCACTCCAGAATAGCCTCTGTCTGCAGCTTCTCGGTACCACGCTGAGTATCTTTTTTTTTCTTTTTTTTTTATACCTAAATTGCACATTGCACCAGCATGGCCTCTGTCTGCAGCTTCTCGGTACCACGCTGCGGCCTTCACGTAATTAACAGGAACGCCCAGTCCTTCCTCATGCCAGAGACCTGCGAAAGGACGATGGAGCGGGTGGTCAGGGGTCGGTAGGTGGGGAGGGGGAGGGGATGGAAGTTGACGAAAATCAAGGAGTTAAAGGGCTTCAAGTTGAAGCCTTGAACATGTCAAAAAATAATAATAATAAATGCAAATGAGCACGAGGCAAAACCTGCAAGTACTTCGCTACAAATGCAACGTAACAAAAAAAAAAAAAAAAGAAAGAAGAAGAAGGTAAGAAGAAAACGACGCCGAAGAAGACGAAGAAAAAGATACAAGATTGCATTATCACAGAAAGATATATATAGTCAATATATATATATATTATATAGTCAATATATATATAGTCAAACACAGCTGCCCGGTAAACAGTAGGCAGAGAGGGAGTGGGGGAAAAAAAGAAAAGGACAACAAACGAGGGGCTGTGGCAAACTGTTTCGTCGGAGTTTCACCGACTCATCAGGAGGCTGAACCCTCAACAGTCTGCAGAATCCCCTAA